ACAATCAAACGGAACCGACCACATTCATGTCCGTATCGCTTGGCGGTGCAGTGACCAAACGAATCACTCACCGTGGCAGCAACACAGCCACTATCCATTTAGGAGCATCATCAAACAACACAGCGTCGCATCGCCACGCTCCATATCATATGCTCCAAACATTTTCCCAACAAACACAACAAGAACACTTACACCACATCTCCAATACGACAAGCATTCCCACAAACCAAATTAAAGCAACCAGACAAAAAACTACCCCACAATTACGAGTGTCACGTACACAAACAGCATACCTAAATAATCTATAGAAAAAGAGCTCCAAGAACATCAGCAAATCTATAGTACACACAAGCAGCTTGACAGAACAGACGTGAAACATTCAACGAACAACCAAATGAAAAGTAAAAACACACTGAAACATCCGAACCACAATCAAACGGAACCGACCACATTCATGTCCGTATCGCTTGGCGGTGCAGTGACCAAACGAATCACTCACCGTGGCAGCAACACAGCCACTATCCATTTCGGAGCATCATCAAACAACACAGCGTCGCATCGCCACGCTCCATATCATATGCTCCAAACATTTTCCCAACAAACACAACAAGAACACTTACACCACATCTCCAATACGACAAGCATTCCCACAAACCAAATTAAAGCAACCATACAAAAACTACCCCACAATTACGAGTGTCACGTACACAAACAGCATACCAAAATAATCTATAGAAAAAGAGCTCCAAGAACATCAGCAAATCTATAGTACACACAAGCAGCTTGACAGAACAGACGTGAAAAATTCAACGAACAACCAAATGAAAAGTAAAAACACACTGAAACATCCGAACCACAATCAAACGGAACCGACCACATTCATGTCCGTATCGCTTGGCGGTGCAGTGACCAAACGAATCACTCACCGTGGCAGCAACACAGCCACTATCCATTTCGGAGCATCATCAAACAACACAGCGTCGCATCGCCACGCTCCATATCATATGCTCCAAACATTTTCCCAACAAACACAACAAGAACACTTACACCACATCTCCAATACGACAAGCATTCCCACAAACCAAATGAAAGCAACCAGACAAAAAACTACCCCACAATTACGAGGATCACGTACACAAACAGCATACCTAAATAATCTGTAGACAAAGAGCTCCAAGAACATCAGCAAATCTATAGTACACACAAGCAGCTTGACAGAACAGACGTGAAACATTCAACGAACAACCAAATGAAAAGTAAAAACACACTGAAACATCCGAACCACAATCAAACGGAACCGACCACATTCATGTCCGTATCGCTTGGCGGTGCAGTGACCAAACGAATCACTCACCGTGGCAGCAACACAGCCACTATCCATTTAGGAGCATCATCAAACAACACAGCGTCGCATCGCCACGCTCCATATCATATGCTCCAAACATTTTCCCAACAAACACAACAAGAACACTTACACCACATCTCCAATACGACAAGCATTCCCACAAACAAAATTAAAGCAACCATACAAAAAACTACCCCACAATTACGAGTGTCACGTACACAAACAGCATACCAAAATAATCTATAGAAAAGGAGCTCCAAGAACATCAGCAAATCTATAGTACACACAAGCACATTGACAGAACCGACGTGAAAAATTCAACGAACAACCAAATGAAAAGTAAAAACACACTGAAACATCCGAACCACAATCAAACGGAACCGACCACATTCATGTCCGTATCGCTTGGCGGTGCAGTGACCAAACGAATCACTCACCGTGGCAGCAACACAGCCACTATCCATTTCGGAGCATCATCAAACAACACAGCGTCGCATCGCCACGCTCCATATCATATGCTCCAAACATTTTCCCAACAAACACAACAAGAACACTTACACCACATCTCCAATACGACAAGCATTCCCACAAACCAAATTAAAGCAACCATACAAAAAACTACCCCACAATTACGAGGATCACGTACACAAACAGCATACCTAAATAATCTGTAGACAAAGAGCTCCAAGAACATCAGCAAATCTATAGTACACACAAGCAGCTTGACAGAACAGACGTGAAAAATTCAACGAACAACCAAATGAAAAGTAAAAACACACTGAAACATCCGAACCACAATCAAACGGAACCGACCACATTCATGTCCGTATCGCTTGGCGGTGCAGTGACCAAACGAATCACTCACCGTGGCAGCAACACAGCCACTATCCACGTAGGAGCATCATCAAACAACACAGCGTCGCATCGCCACGCTCCATATCATATGCTCCAAACATTTTCCCAACAAACACAACAAGAACACTTACACCACATCTCCAATACGACAAGCATTCCCACAAACAAAATTAAAGCAACCATACAAAAAACTACCCCACAATTACGAGGATCACGTACACAAACAGCATACCTAAATAATCTGTAGACAAAGAGCTCCAAGAACATCAGCAAATCTATAGTACACACAAGCAGCTTGACAGAACAGACGTGAAACATTCAACGAACAACCAAATGAAAAGTAAAAACACACTGAAACATCCGAACCACAATCAAACGGAACCGACCACATTCATGTCCGTATCGCTTGGCGGTGCAGTGACCAAACGAATCACTCACCGTGGCAGCAACACAGCCACTATCCATTTCGGAGCATCATCAAACAACACAGCGTCGCATCGCCACGCTCCATATCATATGCTCCAAACATTTTCCCAACAAACACAACAAGAACACTTACACCACATCTCCAATACGACAAGCATTCCCACAAACCAAATTAAAGCAACCATACAAAAAACTACCCCACAATTACGAGGATCACGTACACAAACAGCATACCTAAATAATCTGTAGACAAAGAGCTCCAAGAACATCAGCAAATCTATAGTACACACAAGCAGCTTGACAGAAAAAACGTGAAACATTCAACGAACAACCAAATGAAAAGTAAAAACACACTGAAACATCCGAACCACAATCAAACGGAACCGACCACATTCATGTCCGTATCGCTTGGCGGTGCAGTGACCAAACGAATCACTCACCGTGGCAGCAACACAGCCACTATCCATTTCGGAGCATCATCAAACAACACAGCGTCGCATCGCCACGCTCCATATCATATGCTCCAAACATTTTCCCAACAAACACAACAAGAACACTTACACCACATCTCCAATACGACAAGCATTCCCACAAACCAAATTAAAGCAACCATACAAAAAACTACCCCACAATTACGAGGATCACGTACACAAACAGCATACAAAAATAATCTGTAGAAAAAGAGCTCCACGAACATCAGCAAATCTATAGTACACACAAGCAGCTTGACAGAACAGACGTGAAAAATTCAACGAACAACCAAATGAAAAGTAAAAACACACTGAAACATCCGAACCACAATCAAACGGAACCGACCACATTCATGTCCGTATCGCTTGGCGGTGCAGTGACCAAACGAATCACTCACCGTGGCAGCAACACAGGACCTCCAATCCGGGCATCACTACATGACACAGCGCCGCATCGCCACGCTTCATATCATATGCTGCAAAATTTTCCAAACAAGGACACGCACTACGTGTTTACCACGACAATCATTCACACCACCTAAATTCACGGACAATCACACACAAATATAACCCCAGCCATTAAGGGGAATCACCTCCACAAAGAAAGAGAACATGCGCATCCAATAGAAAACAAAGCTCTCCTAATATCAGCAAAGCTATATTACACACGAACAGCTTAAGAGTGACGGCGTCAACCGTTCAGCCAACAACCGAATGCCAAATAAAAGCACGCTGAAACATCCGAGCCACATTCATAGGGATCCTGCCGCATGCATCTCCGTATCGCTTGGCGGTGCAGTGATCACATGAATCAATCACCCTGATAGCAGCACGACCACTAACCATTTCGGAGCATCACAACGCCAAACGTCGCATGGCGACGCCGCATATCAAAAGCTATAAACACAGAGAAGCGAAGATCAAAAGAATATAAATCACCAGCACAATAAACGCAGACATATGACACACGCACGCAGGTTGGTAAGGTTAACGTCAACAATTCTACCAACAGCAGAACGCCAAACAAAAGCACTGAAACATTCGAATCACACCTTCAGTGATCCTATCACATTCATGTCTGTATCGCTTGGTGGTGCAGAGTTTAATCAAATCATTCACCGTGGCAGCAGCACAGACTCTTCTGAGGCATTTCGTTTGTACAGAAGGCATACTTCCTGGTAGTCAGTGCAATTCGAGGAATTGTGTTTTTGGAACGTGACCCAACGATATCGAATGACGGGAGTAGCATTACTAGGAATCCGCAACCCAGATATTTTGGAAAGCAACAGAATCCAATTTTGAACCCATGCGAATGGCACCCATTATTTAGGAAGGTAGGGAATATCTCCCAACTCGAAGCGGGCACGTGGACAAATGTTGGATTTGGCAAGGTATGCTCCTAAGGCGAGAAGCTTTCGTCAACTTAGAAACCTCGACTTGCATGAGCGTTGGGACGCAATGAATTGACGCCGGTAAAGGTACTCGAAAGCCTGACTATCGATCTTATTACCTCACCCACACATATTTTCGCCTAGCAGAATGAATGAAATGAAAGGTGTCAGCTTATACGCCGTAACGGCGCTTCGCTGCCGCGCGACCATCACCAGTCGCGCGCGGGCTGAGTATACCGCGAGGACGCCCACCCCTACGCGGATTCGAACCGGTGACCTTATGGTTGGAAAGCAAACGTGCCAACCACTCGGACACCGGCCGAACAGGTTCGGTGCACGGTTTGGATTTTTATTCGCCTAGCAGAGTAAAAATCCAAACCGTGCACCGAACCTGTTCGGCCAGAAGCAGCAAACGTCATGGGCAAATACATGGACACGGGCAAGAGGACTGTGACTAGGCAGATGTCAAGTAACCCTGCAAATCCGTAAATTGCAGATAGTGAAGCAAACGAATGGATAGATAATCTGTATGTGTATTATTAGGTGATAGTTGGGAAAGAACATGAAATGTGGAATACAATCGGAAATGTTGTGCAGTAAATGCAAAAACGAACGGGATGAAGAAAGAGTAGTTCGATCAGGTCACGAATTTCACTTTGACTAGATACTTTTGCTTCACTTGGGCCGCATCGTAAACGACGTATTCATTGTATAAAAGAGCCACATTGGGCCTGCCGGAAGGGACGAGATCGCCAATGGGATATATCACACCGTCGGAGTTTGTGTGATGAGTGCTCGGGTCAGGTGTGTATGAACCAATACCTGTAGAGCAAACAAACGTAACCGAAAGGGATAAATGGAGCATGGAAAGTGGTTAGGGGGTTATTGGATACAACTGGGAACCTCGGAGAGTGTAGCTAGAGTTAATATTTTGTTGAACAGCGTTTAGACACGGGGAGGATCAGGTCACGCAGCATAGTAGTGCGTTGCGGGACATTACCATCACTGTTCAGAAAGTTAATGAACTGAATTCTCACTACTTCAAGGTAGGTGAAGCAATTCATGACATACCTTGGAGGGAAATGGCAACAACGCTACATCAACGGAGCCAGCGCACACCCCTTCAACATGCACAGCAATAGTATTCACGTCTATTATGTTTGGGAATCATGCGTAACATACGTACACAAGGCGACGGATGTATAGCAACTCGGTAGACACTGGATGCGTGAGACAACTCTTTGAGCCTAACACGGTCACGAGGATCAGATGTCTCCTGTAGCCAGTCTAATCGAGGTAGCGGATTTTAGACAGGCAGACGGCATGTCAGCATTCACATCAAGCGCACGCACGTTGGGGATGTCAACAGCCAACACGGAATTTGAAGGGAAATAAGCACAGAATATGTGGCAGAATAACTTAGCTGCTGAGCCCTCATAATTCATCATATTGATAGGTCTGAGTTGCATTCAGTGACATGAGACAAAGTGGTGACCAACGACCATGCGGACATACAACGGTTCTCCATTCAGTGACTTGAGTGCAGGTCATATCACATTGGGGTTGAAGCTCACACAAAGTAGCTAGAGGTCATCACAATGTCTAACAAAAACGCTTTTTTTATATTTCGAAATGGCGCAATGAGGGATAGCAGAAAAAGCAACACTGGCTAAACGGGGCAGGACGAGAACGGGGCATGAGTGACGTCCGTTGGAGAGCCTGAACCAGGCAGAAATGGAGAGGGTGTTGTTCGAAAACGCAATAAATAATACAACGCCGTTATTGTAAGATCCCGGACAGACCACAAGCAGTGTGTGTTGCATCCACGTTCACATAAAGTAAGAGCTATCGAACGACACTTGGGCCGGTCAGAATGAGACGCATAGAAGCGGAAATACGGGGTGTAATGGGTGGGGAATACCCTGTCACGAGACCCCCAAAGTGCATGGTGTCGAGAGCGGAAACCCAGAGATGGTGCGTCGTGGGAAGGAAAGGTGACTTATTAATGTACAACTGCGTGGGTGTTGATATAGCTTGTGCTGGCGCTAATAAAATTCGTCCTTCATTGCCGTGCCGTTCTTGCTACCATAAGACCGAAATAAGTGGGCCGACATGAGTTTTGGGGGATAATCGACTGCGTGGGTGGACAACGCGGCAAGGAAACATTTTACTACAATGTGCAAAGAGGGAAGAAAAGCGATGATGGGATTTTTGGAACTTCAGTGGAGAATGCTTGAATCTTGTCTAGCTTGGTAGGAAAACCATGTCTAAACGAACGTGTAAGATGACTACTCAATTGGAGAGCGATTTGCTATTCATCAAGTAGGCAACACGCGACAACGACTGGCAAGTTCGGTGTGACAAATGCAAATCCGAATTTTCTATGGCTCACGATGACAGATCAGATATTATAAAGCACTTAAAATCGGATAGTTCTAAGGCAATGGTATCTGCGGCAGCATCTACCGCCCCTGAAATAATTATTTGCGATGAACAAGCTTAGGAAACACAGAAGCCAATTTAGCAGCCACTGTAGGTACCTCCTCTTATCACGCTGCATTTCATAACCACGGTTTCCACTCCAGGAATTGTATCAGAAGTTGGTAGAGAAATGGTTTGAGCGGAACCTCGCATGTGTGCGCATAAAATGTGTGGCATTGATAATAATAATTATAAACTTAATAAGAATAAGAATAATGATGATGATAATAATAATAATAATAACTAATGTCCTGAACCTATTTGCCAGATAAACTTCAAGAAAAACAAGATGGTAAAATTCGCGTCAATGTTCACAGACGCCTCAAGTCTCAAGGAAGTAATGGTGTTCGCACTCCTTGTGAGATATTTTGCCGTCATTGGGTATTGAGGTCAAGTTATTAGACATGCAGTCACTTAGTGATGACACGTCGGATACTATTTGTCAATTTCTAAAGTATGTTTGAACAAAATACCATGAGCTGGAAATTGTGGGATCTTGTGCTGACGACACGAACACACAGTTCGGTGGCGTTCAGAGAAGAGGACAAAATAATGTATTTGCGAACTTGAAATCTATTAGAGAAACACTTGCGGGAATTGGTTGCGTGCGCACATTGTCCACAACACACTGCAAACGCCAGGCGACTGTCGGTTTCTTGATGTTGAAACAGTTGGGGCGAAAATATCTTATTACTTTTATATTTACACTGTTCTTGTTAAAGAACCAAAGAAATTCCGTGACTCTATAATGGCGGAATACCAACGCATTTTAGGATATGGGAAATCTAGATGATGGCTTTCACTTATGCCAGCAGTGGAGATAATCCAGAAGGTCTTTTCGTCGTGGAACTCCTATTTACGTCTCGACAGAATTTTCCTACATTATTACAATATTTCTTTGAAAATCCCTATCCTGAGCTGTGGCCCTACTTTATACACAACATCTATCATTTTCCACGCAACTGTACTATTGAGGAACACCATATTTCAGCACTGGAAGTGTCGTCTGCAATGCCCGAACTCCTGCAGAACTGAAGGGACAAGAGCAGAAATAGCTTTGTTCCAAATGAGGTAAAGATTCGAACTGGCCAACTCGAACAAGCGGGTCTCGTCAGCAAAACAGTTTGATGAATATTATCACCAGCTTCTACGACAATTGCGTCGATTATCTACAAGAAAGAAAGAACCGATTTCAGGGACTGTGGCTTTAATTGGATGGCATTGGACCAACCACTGTGCTGGGAGAAAGTTGAAGCAAGCGTCAGTCCTTTTGGATGTACACTCCCAGACCTGGAAATCAAAGACAACGAGCTAGTTGACGAAGATAAAAACGTGTGTAGGTTTGCATCAGCGGACAAAATTCTCGATTGGAACTGTAAACAAACCTAGGTTGATGTACGGTGGGTAGAAGTGTTTTCCCATTTCCAGACCAACTCAGTCCCGTATGAAGAAGTACGAAAAGTATTTAATTTATTTTCCGTCTCGTTGGGAGTAAAGCACTTACTGGATGGAAAATCTCACAAATGATCCCTATAGGGCCAATGGAACAATGGTTCTACACTGGTAAAAAAGCTAATGCTTAACAGGTCCCACAGGATGGTTATGGTGAAAATTCATATTATAAAAAATGCTTAGCAAAACCGGGTTTACACAGTGAACTCACTGAGGTATACATAGTATAGACTGTAAATCCAAGGTAAATCCATGCGAAACGACGGCAAATTGGATGTTGGTAAAAATCGTGTCTCCTGCTGTACACATGCAGGAGGAGGAAAACGTGAAACGAAAGCTAAGCTTTGACCGCGAGTAAAAACTCTTACAGATACTTGTGTTTATCCATGGGTAATGGGTAATGTAAGATGGTGCAGCAAAATAACTGTAAGATTAAGCCTGGATGTGAACTCTGCCGGCGTGGGAGCACATATGACAGATTCCGATAAGGCATTCCACGTTGTGCAAACTCGTACAGTAGAGCAATTCCGACGGCATACTAAAGGTCTGCTACTGTGCAGGCTTGATTTAGTGGACTCTCAAATTGCGCTTAATGAATTAGCTCTAGCAAGTGGCGGCACGTGTGGTTGGGATCTCACAAAATATGGCAAGCCAAAAGGAGGTTTCCGCGCAATCGCCGATATTGTCCGCTGAAGACCCCGAGCACTCGAAGCCTTCGTTCATACGGCAACTTATACATACCCTTGACGTTTTGGTTGCCCAGCATTGGGGTATCACCAAGGCGGTGAGATCACTCCACAGCTATGACTGCCAAAAATGTACTGTGTATTCCAGATGTGACCGTTTGTTTGAGCCGAAAAGTTGTGGAAAAATCCAAGGGTCGAATCGTCCGAGTGCATCCTTCAGGAGGCCCACGCCGTTTCAGTCTGATTCGAACATCCAAGATCAATATGGACAAAAAACCCAGATGCTTATCGCCAGATGTTTGAAGCTTCTGGTTGCTGCGTTTGCAGGAATGAACCAACTTGTGCCCCAGATGCAGCGCTCTACATATGTTCAAATCGAATCGAAGCAGATTCTGGACAACGCAGCTTAGCGTTTAAACACTGAAACCGATACTTATGGTGAAAGGTAGTTCTGAAGACAAGAGTGCCGTGTATCCATGCGAACGACTTCATGATATGTTGATGCAACGCCCAGATCTACTACGAAAAAATATGCATCTAGCTAGGCGAACAACTTCTTCGTGGTGTCAGCTGGTTGGTTCGGGTTTACCCACTCCCAGAAAATAGTTCGGCGGCAGGGTTTCAGGGCATGGTGGGTTTTCGCCTGGCAAGCGTTTTTTCTATAAGACGCCACAAATATCCGTTTAACAACAGCGTGACGTGGCGGATGTGACTTGCCGCTCACTAAACGCACTGCTTCTTACGTAGCTGGATGATCTAACCCAATCCACGGACGTGGGTCATCCAATACTCTGAGTTCATTTCTCTTCTTCCTACGCCTGACCGAAAACAATCAAAATTCAAGCAACACAACACATTCATGCGCACTTAACACATGGATCCGTATGTTACTTATAAACTTGTGTCGTTTTTACATTAACCAGTCCTTTTTGTGTCGCCATGATCATGCCTATGCAGGCATGTCTCACAATGTCGAGAATAAGACATTTCTTTCTTTCTCCACTTAAGTATTGCTCGATAATTATTGTTCCAGATAATATTACGTCAAGCAGTACATCAACTTTTAATCGGAAACACTTGTACCAACATTTACTTTGGTTATTGTGCTCATAAAACCATGGATTACAACAACATGGCGAAATCACGCCGAACGTTGGCTATTGCTACCATAGTAGTACCCATGATTTTTCCGCAAACCAGCGG